TTCTGTTTTATACATATAAGATATTCATAATTTCTACAGTATAAAATGTCTTCGGAGGTTGATGATTAAGAAGTTTTTATGGATAGTGTTAGTTTCCTGCAAGCATTTGGGGAAGTCTGCCATAGATCAAGATTGAAATGAAAATTGATACTGACATTTAGCATTTACAGGACCTGAAACCAAGTGTACTTCACACAAAAAAATAAAAATAAAAATTGTGATAAAGTGGATGGTTTTAAGGACTATTTTAGAATTACAGATAAGAGACGCCCTTTCTTTGAAACAAAGTATATCTGTAAAATGACCACTGAGAGTGTAATGGTGTAGAGCAATAAACAGGTGAAAATTATTCTTGAGACAGAGACTCACAGAAGGTTATGCTGTGACCTAGGATAGCACCTCCCTCTGCTACTTACTGAGAAGAGTTCTTAGGGTTCTCTTCCAATCCTACATCTCTTAAGGAGTTACTTATAGCACAGCTGATCTTCAAAAAATGCCACATATGAAGCATATGTGTATCAGGTAAGAGGGCACATGTCTGTAATCTCAGCACTGGGAAGGCTGAGACCATAGGATTGCAAATACAGGACCAACTGAGCTAAAGAGGGAGATCTTCTCTAAAATCAAATACATATGTAAATTAGTAAAAGAAAATTTGCTTTATGTTTCTGAAACAATGAGAACCTTTATCTTGACACTCTCCATGAAAAGTGCTATCACTCATTCATTTGTGTAAAGCAGGATCCTTGTGCACAATGGAGAAGTACTAAAAAAAATTGTGCAAATTGCCAAGACGGAGAAAATAGCTTGGAACAGATGGTAGCTTGCTGCTACTCTTCAAAACAGTAGTGGAGGTCTTGTGAGCACTGTTAGATCTTTGTTTTATTGATCTGAAAGTCAATTTGGGTATCAATCTTTCTATTTATATTTAAGTTATTCCTTTAACATGTTAGAACCACTCTGGTAACTATGAGTGTTCATATGCTATGCTTTGTATGGATGTATGCACATGAATATGCAGTTGTATGTGTGTGCATGCATGTCAAAGACAAAAGTTGCTGTGACATGTCTTCCTCAATCTTACTACACCTTTATTTTTAGATCTATATTTAGTTTGGTGTGTGTGTGTGTGTGTGTGTGTGTGTGCATGTGTGAGTGTGTGTGTGTGTGTGTGTGTGTGTGTGTGTGTGTGTGTGCTTGAGTGCAGATACCCTTAGAGGGAAAAACAGAGCATCAGATACTGTGGAGCTCAAGTTACAGCAGATGTGAGACTCCAATACAAGTGTATCAGAGCTCTTGTCCTCTGCAAGATCATTCACTGTGCTTTAAACCACTGATCATCCCTAACTTGATTTTTCAGATAGAGTCTCTCATTGGGCCCAGAGCTCACTGATTCTACTAGGCTGGCTGCCTCATGAGTTCTAGGGATCCATCTATCTCACATACCCCACTGAAATTACATATTCACCCTTAGGTGTTTTTTTTATTTTTTTAAACATGGTTTTTAGGGATTCAAACTTAGCTTCTCATGTTTGTGCCGGTACTTTATCAATTGACCCAACTCCCAAGTCCCTATTGTGTCCATTTTTAATCCAGTAAGAGAAGGTATAGAGCTGGCATCTTTAACAGTACACACAAACTAGAAGAGCTCCTTAATCCTTGGTGATTCTGAGAAGGATAAGCACAAGGGATCCTATACATCACCTGTAGGATAATATCCTAAGGATCCTATATATCACCCATAGGATAACATTCCTATACATCATATGTAGGACAGCATTCTAGGGATCCTACACATCACACCTATAATTCTAGGTACTATTTGTTCAGTATAAACTGGGACTTACTGAGCAATGAATTATTCTGGTGTCTCACTATCATTAAGATGAAGAAATTATGCAAAGCACTACAGATCACTTGATGAGGAAGTCTTGAGTATATGTCAATAAAGCACTGTTGACCAATAGGGAAGCAAGATAGGTGGGATTAGGAGTCCAAGAGGACTCTGGGTAGGAGAAACACAGGGAGTCAAGATGTAACCACCATAGGGGTAAGAAGCCCAGACCCTTTTCTCCGGTAAGAGAAATACTTAGATTGGCAGTTAAGGGGCTAAATACTTAAGTCAGAGATAGCCAGTACGAAACAAGCAAGGCCAACAGCTTCATAATTAATACAGCATCTTGTGTGTTATTTGGGACCTACAACTTGGCAGAGCCCAGGCGACTGATGGGGAAAAACCAAAGTGGCTGGCAAGGAAAAGGCTTTTCTCTACAATCACTAACTATTTTTAGTGTCACATTTTAATGTTTGGAGTTTCTAAATGAGCCATATTTCCATTGTGGTTTGACTCTGTTGCCTCATCTCACTATCTATGAAGTTTTAATCTGCATGTTAGGAATTTCCTCTATGGAAAATAAAACAATGGTGATGAACCCTGGACAATCAGATTAGAGTTGAGTGAGCTGCTAAACAGATGGCACAGACAACTGGAGTGTGGCACAGTAATATGAGCAATAAGTTTTTGCCCACTGCTAGAAAGTCAGTTAGTAGAAGCAAAACTGCCCAAATGAATAAAGAACATTTGATGAAAATTAAGCCCACTATTAAATCCAATGTTCTACAGTATTTTGTGACTGAACACTGAAAATGCATTTGACATTAAACATTAAACTGGACAAATGTAAATATTGTCCCTCCTTCTGAATAAATTCCAATTGTCCTCAATAGTTTTAAGGCATTACTAAACAAAAGAAAGTTCTGTAAAGTATTTCTATGCATGACATATTAAATGTCTATAAAAGTGTATAGGATTATAAGAGAGTCATCAAGTAAAATTTTGCATTGTGCTTTTCTTTTTTTATTTATTTTTCAGTTTAAATTTAGATAAGAAACAAGGTTGCTTCACAAGTCAGTTCCAGGTCCCTCTCCCTTTCCCTCCCCTCCTCCCGTGCCCTTCCCCCAACCCCCCCATTATCCCCTCATTTCCCCAGGGAGGGTGAGGCCCTCCATGGGGGTGTCCATAGTCTATCATTTCATATAGGGTAGGGCCTAGACCCTTCCCCAAGAGTTCAGGGTGAGAGTGCACCTCACATTGTTGGATGGGAGTCCAAAGTCCGTGTGTATACTTGGGATGGGTACTGATCTGCTGCCCAAGGCTCAATAGATTACCTAGGCCTCCTCACTGACACCCATATTCAGGGGGTCTTGATCAGTCCCATGCTGGATTTCTGTTGTTTAAGTTTGGAGGCAGAGTAAATACATACCTTGCTGGAAATTTTGAGTATAATACTCTATCCTCCCCTAACATATGCATACCTTTTACCTACTGAGACAAGTCTGCTCCATTCATGAATGCACACTTCCCTGCAGTCTACATTTCATCCTAAGGCCACAGAGGATACAACCTTGACAAAACATACCTTCCTGGGGTTCACATTTTAGCACCTGGAACTCCCAGGGAGGCCTCAGTTTATATTTCTTTTCTTCTGTCTGAATTCTAACTGCTTGTGTCATTAGAATAATTTGTAGAGCCTACAGTCCACAATTTGCCTTGTCTTGTTGTGGTGGGCCTCATAAGGATCATAATGCATGCAAGTTTTTTTTTGTTAGGACTAGATACTCGAGGATGTGCTTTTGATTTGTGAATATCTGGTCCATTCTTTTGCTAGGATCACTGTAACAAAGTTCCACAAACTGTGTACTATGAACAGTATGCATTTATTGTCTCACAGTCCTGAATGTTAAAAGTCAGAGCAACGTGCCCACTGAAGTTAGCTCTTTTTAAGCCTGTGAAGACAGTGGTATAATTCTTTCCCTACTTCTTAAGTTTGGCTGGAAGAATTCAGCATTCCATGGCTTGCAGATACATCATCTCCATCTCTTCTTTCACAGTACATGTTTTGTTTTTTCCTGTGTACTTGCCCGTGCCTTGTCTTCTGGTTTATATAACCACCCATTTAAGGACTTCATTTTGGACTAAACTTCTCATTAAACATACTGTTTCCCAAGTTGGTCATATTCTGAGATACTGAGAATTGGGTCATCAACATATGTACTAGGCACAACTCAACCCCAATAAAGTCTTGTATCTCAGAATATGCCCTTCAATCCTGCAAATGGTTGACTGGAATTCACAGACCCCTCACTGGCCAAGATGCTAACATTCTAAATAATGAACATGATACAATATGTTAACAAGGTTCTAGTTCTTTGAAAAATCCCAGTTGGTATCTATAGTTGGCTTAATGATTGCTTTAATACTTTTTCTTTCTTTCTAATCATTCTATGTCCCCAAGATTACAAAGGCAGAAATCATAGCCTTTTGCTTTCTTGTTCTCTTGTTGGCAGAAATAAAGTACTAAGAAAGTTGTGGTTTTTGTCTTTCTTTCCTTTAAATTATAAAGTCATACTTAACTGCCCACTATAACCCCAAAACATTAGGTCTTAAAAGGAAAATTCCCTTCTCAAAAATCACGATATTTGCTAGAGTAAAATCAAGTCCTTTTATTCTTTTAATTTCAATTTCTTTTATCTAAGAGTTAATGAGATCACCTGGGTTTAAGGAGATTTGAAATGGATTTTAAGTCCTTACTATTATTATTATTATAACACTAGGTTATTAATACCAAGTTAAAATGTCACTCAACATGCAAAATGAAGTGCTAAGTGTCTTTCAGCTTTTAAGGGGTACATTATAAGAAGAGTCCATTATGAAAATCATCTCAGGTTATAGCCAGTTCTCAAAAGAGCTGGGAAATAAGATTTTTAAATCATGGTGTTACAGGACATTAGAACAAATAAATTTGTAAAATACACTAAAATTTTAACCTACAAAATGCTCCCCAGGTAACAGTGATAATAGTTATATATCTATGACTGTCACTTAAACTTAAATTGTTAATAATCAATGATGATAATGCAAAATTCTACAAGATTTTCACTTAATATGACCAGCCAGTCTAGAGTAGCTATAGGACAATGAAAAGAACAATTGCCTAGTGTCCATTGGCTGACTTTACTAGGGTATATCAAATATACAAAATCACCCCCTTATGGTGTCCTCACAGAGCTGGGAGAAGGCAAAGCAGATGGTCTCGATCCACAAAACAACAGGGTTCAGGTATCAATTGTGGGCAATGCGATGTCAGGTGAAAGAGAAGAAAGGGGGTCAGGAATCCTTTCCTGGGTAAAGGAGATTGATGAAGCTGGACAAGATGCTGCCATGTCTGCTTGTGGGGAAGGTTGAGGGAGAAATCTAGGTTGGAGAGAAATGAACAAGGAATGAGAAAGGGAAAAGGAAAGAGTGCCAGGGGTCACCCACCCAGTCACACAACCAGCCACAGAGTAAGAAGGAAAGAAAGACATATAGAATAAAGAAAGGCAAAAAGCCAAGAGATAATCATAGAAGAGAAACAGGATAATTTAAGTTAGAAAAGTTGGCTACAAAAAAAAACAAGTTAAGGCTGGGCATTCAAAAGTAAGAATAAGTCTCTGTGTATTTATTTGGAATCTGGGTGACTGGCCACCAAAAAGAGTTAAAAAGAAAAAAACGAACTATAGCATAGTTTCTGACTCATATTCTTATGAGAAAGGAAAATTCATCCCACTTCCACTATATAAAAAGTCATTGTCCTTAGCAGAGTGGGCTTATGGTTGTATGTGTAAATGAATGGGAAACAAAATTACAAAGTAGTGCAAATAATGGTAATGATGATCATGATCATACTAAGTGTCTCATATCCAAGACTGTGTTCCACGAAATACTGTGAAGGCAGATCTCTATGCTTGTGTATATTTAAAATGTCTTGGTTTAAAGGTTTTAATTGAATGATAAATACAATTACATGTAATAGAACTATTCAAAAGCCAAGAGGGAACATATTGCCTTTGTTTCCCCAGATGGACATGTTGTCAAACTGACATATTATTGTTCATACCCATACATTACCACCACTCTCAGTCTAGAGTACAGAAGTTCATTTTGCCAAGAGCAATGATTAATACCAAGACTCATCTGGTCAAAGTGCTGAAAATAAATGGCAACTATCAAGATCCAGAAAACATTGCAGAAGAAAGAGCTAGAGGTTGGGGAAGAGTGTCACAAAAATGCTACCATTTAGGTATGACATTGCTGTTGCAGGCTTGCACAACAGAAGTTATAAATACCTGAAACTGGGTCCTTCAATATTCTGTCCTTTCCTGTGGGGCTATTGTCTATTAATAATTTTGTATGTAGGAGGGTAATTTTCTTTAATGGTGCAGCCACTGTGGGACTAGATAAGAAGGAGGGTTTCAGTGGGAAAGGAATGGGGAACCTGAAGGTAAAGGTAGGGCAACACAGCCATGATATGTTATATTTGCGCATGAAGTTTATCAAAAATAAAGAAAAATTAAAGGAAAGAAATTAAAGTTTATGGTTTAGAATTCTAAAGATATAATGAAACTGGGCATTCCCTCCTTAGGAGATATTTTCAGATTAATTAATCATACAAAACAGTTGAGCTTCTGACTTCAGACTTACACTTCATTTCTCTTTTTCTTAACCAGTATCAACATTCCACAGATTAATCACCAGCTACCACTAACAATGCTCTGTAGGCCATAGCTCAGACAAACACGATTTAATTCACAGACCCTGAAGGTTGGAAGATATTGCAAAGCATTCAGATGATTTTACACAAGCAACAGGAAGTTCGTCTGGGACTTGAATTTTCTGGAATTTTCTCAACCATCCTGAGTGAGGTAACCCAGTCACAAAAAGACAAGCATGGTGTGTACTCACTCATATATGGATTTTAGGCCTGAAACAGGGGAGTTCCAGCCTACAATCCCCAGCCAGAAAGTCTAGGAAACAGGGAGGGCCCTAAGAGAGATATTCATAGCAACCCCAGAGAAGGGGAACAGGACAGAATCTTCTGAGGGGATTGGAAGCACGGGGGTGGGGGGGGTGTGAGGAAGCTGAGAGACAGAGATGGGGTGAAGAGTATAAAGAGAAGCTTTTTCCTTGAGAGACACCTTCCCGCCAGCCTGGTTCCAGAGCCGCATCAGTCCCAAATGAACACACAGGAGGCTATATTAATTATGAAGCTGTTGGCCTTGCTTGTTTCTTACTGGCTAGCTCTGACTTAAGTAATTACCCCATAATTGTTAATCTAAGTATTTCTCTTTCCAGAGAATAGTTCTGGGCTTCCTACCCCATGGGGTTATAGAAGAGGAGGGGAGAGGAGGACATGGGGGAGCAGGAAAGTTGAGTAGGGAGAAGAATAGAGGAGAGAAGGATGAGAGATACCATAATAGATCGAATCATTATAGGCTTGAGGAGTGAGCTGTCCTAGATCATATGACAGACTTTCGAGATCCCCCCAAGAAGGGCCTCACCCTCTTTGGAAAATGAAGTCGGGATTGGGGGAGGGGCTGGGGGAGGGTTGAAGAGGTCAGGAGAGGAGGGGAGTGAGAGGGAGCTAGAACTGACATGTGAAACAAGCTTGTTTCTAATTTAAATTAATTTTTTAAAAGGAATTTTCTCAAAATTCAAATCAAATTTGCCGTGGGATGTACACCATAAATTCAACTTTTGACAGAAATGAACCATGGTACCAATGCAATCATCTGTAATTACCACTATATTAGCCTACTAAATTATTAATTTTAGATGACTGCTTTGACTCTTCAAATAAAGCTAGAAATATTCTAATCCTTAAATGATTCAGAGAAACAAAGCACAAGAGAATTACTCATACCATGTCTATTAAAATGAGATTTATATTTTGTTTCCTTTATACTATATCGTATCATAGAGGAAAATGATAGAATATACCAGCTTAAATCAACTTATATGTCTTTATTCTTTATGCATAACGCAAGTGTAGTGCTTTGTAATGTTATACACTGAGTCTTTCTTACCTTTTATTTGTGCATAATGAAGCCACAGCAAGAAAAAAAACAATTCATTATTTCTACGGATTATTTGAAGAAGTCTTTTAATCTAAAAGCAAGAGAACAGAAATGTGTGTTCTTCAGAAAGAGAAACTACAACTTAACACATTTTATTATATTAAAAATACTATGTATTTAATTACTTTTAATAAATTCAATTTTATTTATTTCTACTATAAATTTTTGCAAAGCTGGTGAGAAATTCTACAGAGGAAAGCATGCCTTTGTTATTTGAACCACAATTATTTTTAAAACCTCTTAAAGGAAAGGAGTAAGAAGAACAGACGTGGGTGGGTGTGGTGACACATGCCTGTCATCTCAGTTTTCAGGATGCTGAGCTAAGAGGATGGAGAATTCATAGCCAGTCTGTGCTGTGTATCTGTCTGTTTGTTCCTAGAAAGAATATCTAGGTTTTTAATAGATTTACATTCCAGGTACTTTGACACTAGTCAGAACTATGTGGAACCTCAGGCACTGTTACATTCGGAACAACATTAAATGGGTTTCTTTACCTCCAAGCTTTGGGAATATGACTAATTCTACATTCTACATTGCATCCCCTAATACATAGTTTCACTTTCTTCTTTTCCAGATACCATTAGTAAACCACAGTTCAAAACTATTAAATGAAAAATTCCCGAATCAAATGACTTATAACTTTTTGACTGATTATGATGAGTAGCTTGATGAAATCTCATATACATGTAATTGTGTACAATATATCCATTCTGTATGTGCTACCCTTACAAAAATCGCTTAGTGGTCATCTCAATTACTGTGTTGAATTTCGTTTATTTGCTGTCAGGTAAGCCTGACATAATAGACTATTGCTACATCATAGCATCTATGCCCTACACTTATTTTCACTGCATCATCTAGGATAAATCATCTCATATTAGGGAAAGCAAGTGAGGGCCATAAACAGTAGTAAAGAAAACCCTCCATATCTCCTGCAACATCCAGCAACTGGAGCTCTGCACATAAAACACCACTGCTGTGCTAATAGGGAGACTGCTCTCAGCCAAAGCTGAATGAGTCAGGCTGAACTCTCTTCTTCCTATCTCGCCATGCCCTTCCTTCTATTTCCCTTCCTTTCAGACACATTCACACAGGACCACATCTGTGGCTCCACCTTATACACATGCAGAATCTCTGGTATGCGTTTGCTCACAGGTGTTTCTTTAGATAAATTTCTTGGATTCTGCTTCTTTGAGACCCCAGACTGGCATAGGTCGGCTCCACTGAGCAAGAATAAATACAGCTTGAATCCAGAAATGAATAGCACATAAACGGTATGGTGTTTTCTCCTGATGGTGGGAATAAAGGAACACTGCAACAAAAGCTTCTACAGGAACCTCACAAAACAACAGGTACAAAATAAAACCAATAAGAGTGCCTTGTCCAGGACAGATGTCCTTGGGAAGATGAGCAATACCGGAGTCTTCAATATGTTTAAACATATCAAAAGAAGACTAAACCAAAGGATATTGTAGAAATTCACTGCTGACAGATACTGAAAAGTTAAGTGATACAGAAACAAATGTAATTATCAACTGCCTAGGAAAGAGTGAGCAGAACAAGAAAAACATACGAAGGACATCATTACAGAAACATGAGAGCAAATAGATAATACTGCCTTATTTTCCATGTGGGAAATCAAGAGATGATTCTTAGAATTGGAAAATTGGAAACTGAATAGTAATAGCAGGGTGGCTTGTATTGCCCTGGTAGAAGTACCAAGAGGATACTTAAAAGGTTTGAAACTACTTGCTTCTGGATAGAGAGACCAGGAATGACTGCTTTCCTCAAAATCAGTGGAAGTGCTTTGTACATATTACTGGAAACAGCTTAATTTATGAAATTAACTGGATAGAGTAGTTTCTTTCCTAAAACTTTGTGTATGTAAGAATTTTATTAAATATAATTAGAGCTGCAAACATTAGCTCCTTATAGAGTGTTGTACCATATTAGAACTTCTGGCTTCAGATCCCAGCTTCCTCCTTAAGCAGAATCATGGGTCCTGATGTTGATGATCTGGGTTTCAGGAGCATCGTCTATGAAGGGAGCAATGCTATGACTACTTCCAGAACACTTTAAGGATTCGTGTGGAAACATGCTGCAGGCACATGATAACATCTGCCAGAAAGATGAGTTGTCAGTCTGTACACAGCCCCATCTCTTCTTTTATGGGTTCCTGCTTAGGAAGCACACAGAGGTAGGGAGAGGATGACACAGTGGAGAACCCCACACCAGGAACATGGTTACCTATGTGTTAAAGTCCCCATGCTTTATTTTTCACAGCTATGACCTTGAATATGGACTTACACTTCTTTGTAGCTATTTTTAGTAACCATAAATTATTAAAAATAATAAAACCATTTCCTTCTATGGTTGCTGGGAGACCAGAAAACAAACAAAAAAAAACCACTAAGCACATGCGAACGTATAAGATAGTGTAACTTGTGCCTAACAGGTACTAAATATCACACATATTCCCCTTCATTCTTTTTTCCCATTCTCAAGCTTTTAAATAATTTTCTGTTAATATATTCCCTTGGGTCTCTTGCAAACCTAGGTTAAGTCAGACTTGTAACAATGGTAAAAATTAACTGTCTTCAATCCAAGAATGATTTCTTTATTCAAAGAGCATGAAAACATACGTGGGTTTATGAATATGAACAATGTATCACAGAGGTGAGAAGAGGGGGTTATGTGCCCAGAGGGTGAAGTTTCAGGTGGTTGGGAGTCTCCCTATGTGCTTGGAGTCCTAAGAACACTTAATGGCTGAGCCTCCTCTCCAGTACACGCTGGCATTTTTGAATGCTTTCCCATTTTTGAGTGTCATAGATCTGGCCATCTTGCAATTCATTTCAGAATCAACACTGAAGAGCTGATACACGCTCTTTCCAAAATGAATGAATTAAACCATCAATGCACAATAATTTGGCATATATTTTTGAGTTTTCTGTTTTAGCCTTTTAGTGTGTGTGTGTGTGTGTGTGTGTGTGTGTGTGTGTGAGAGCACGCACGTGTGCGTGCACACGCACGGGCTCATTTATCTCCGGATGCACTACTGAAATGTTTTCCTACATTCAAAACCATGAACAAGAGATGCATGTATTTGAGAAGCTATTTTTAAAAATGTATATCCCCTTCTTTGTCTTTCTTTTTGCATGTGTATGTGTGTGTGTTCATATATCAGTTGTGTATTCTGTACCATGAAACAGAATGCACTATCAATTATGTTAAATGTAGAGTAGTTTTTTAAAAAATCAAGTTTCATAGGTTTTCTAAGTAATTACCAAAATTAACAACCCAAACAAAACTTTTGTAAAGCTACATACATGTTGATTTTGTTTTGCTGAGAAAGAAACAGTGGCTGAATTATCCAGGTCAAGGATCATTTTTTCCATTTCTCTCTGTCTGTTTCTCTGGCCTGTCTCTCTTCTCTGTTCTCTCTCTCTCTCTCTCTCTCTCTCTCTCTCTCTCTCTCTCTCTCTCTCTCTCTCTCTCTCACACACACACACACACACACACACACACACACATACTTTTTCTTTTTTTCTCTTTCACCCTTCTTTCTTCTTTGAGACAGGGTCTCTCTCTTGTAGCTCAGGATGGCTTCAAACTCACTATGTGACCCAAACAGTCATTGAATTCTTGATCCTCCAGCCTCTCTTTCTCAAATGCTGGGATTATAGGAATGAGCCAAAGGGTCCAGTTTTTTATGGTGGGGCTTCATGACTGCTGATCAAATTCCCTGAAACTGAGCTGCAACCCACTCCATATGGTGGATGTGTTCACTTGCTTTTGCTTTCAGAGACTGGGTCTGTGACCTCAGATCAATGATACAAGGTCTCCTAGCTGACTAGACTGTCTGTCATCAAGATTTTTCAATCCCATGTTATAGCTTAATAAAATGACAACAAAATTAAATATCTTTCAAAAATTCAGATCACAGTAGATAATAATGTGCACAATAAATTTCTGAACATTAAATGCTGAATCAGCACAAAATGTCCATATGCATAGGGTGAACTAATGCGTGCATTGACAGTTTAGTAGAAACAGTAATTCATGATTCAGTTACCTCCAGGAAGAGCCTTAATTTAAAGGCACAGGACATTTTTGGTCATCAACACAAGTTAAAAACTGTCTGAATTGTTCTACAATAGACAAAGCCTTTCTGGGAACACAACTATCAAGAGTTAATCTCTTGCAGCATTAGTCCACATAACCTTTATTTGCTGATAATGTTTAAATTATTACCCCTTTCTTGATATAAAATCTCATGTATCCAGACTGCCCTCAAACTCTGTAGACAAAACAGCCTTGAACTTCAGAGTCTGCTGGCTCCATCTCCCAGATTCCCAGATGCTAGAACGATAGGCATGTGCTACCAACCTAGGTTGACTCCATATTGGGAATTGAACCCAGGGCTTTGTTCTTGTTAGGCAGGTACTCTGCCAACTGAGCTACATCCCATGTCTCTTATTGAGTACGGCCTTGACTTGAAAAATCCCATCATAAATGAAATCTTGAAGCCAGAAAAAAAGAATGTTGTTGTTCCCCTGAAATATATTCCAGTCTGAGAAAAGGAGATCTGTTAAAGTTCAGAGGAATCCTTTGGTTTGACAGTTTTGTCTTTCCATTTTTACGATGAAGAGATGAAACTATTATAAATAAAGAGGGCAAGATAAAAAAGTCAAGTGTCAGAGTTTGATGGGATTTGAGTCCTAGGTTAATGAACACCTTCCTTTTGAAGAAAATTAAAGAGATTCTTGTAGAATCCCAAGGTCAGTATTCCATTTTATGCTGATTTGAAAGTTGAAGGTCAGATCTGAGATAATTAGTTGGAGCATTCCAGAGAAAAATAAACATCACACACCTATCTCAAAATAGCCACGAATTTATGCATAATTCTTATTTTTGCTGCTGATTCTGAAACCAAACAAGAAACAAAGTCTTGCAGCACTGAGGTCCAAACTGGCAAACTGTTTCTCACACATGTAATTTGGTTAAGACTTAGAAGACGTAGAAGCAATGCATCCTTAATGCTATCTAAAAACTGCTTCTCATCACTTGTCACTTGGGTCAGAGAAGGAAGAACGTTGACAAGAGCCTCAAGGAGGAAGAGGCCATCATTCCCTTTTGTTAAAGAACCTGAAGAAGCCACCCTAGTCTAAGATGCTGGAACACAGTAGCACAATTGACATGCGACTCTGTTAGAGGAGGTCAGGGTCTAATCCCAGCGTTTCCAGGTTCTTAGGCTCTTTAACTTCAAAATACGAGCTAACATAGATTTTAAAAAAAAAGCGAGATAATTTTATGTGGAGCAAAGCAATAATACAGATGAAAGAGTGGTAACTGTCATGATTGATTGACAGTGAACCACATGAAGAAAAATATTCAAGAACCCAAGCAAGCGACAGACAGCCTAGGGTCTCTACTTATGGGGTCTGAGAGAAAGAGGAGGTGGTTTCAAAAGGACATAGTTTAGAAGGCTCTTTATTTTGATTGATGGATTACATAATCATTTCTCTACTGTTTATTTGGACCCCGATTTAAATCACGTGCACTCCCAGTTATACATAGGCATATGATGATAAATAGGGTTCTCCCCAGAAAGTTATTAGAGGGCATAGTTTTGCTTTACTGCACATTCACTGAAACCAGTTCAGGCCCTGGGTACTCTTTGTACCCAGATGTGTCAGGAATATACTTAATTAGAAACTGTATAAAATTGAGATAGAGAAAGTCATATCATTGTTCAAAAATGGGAATACTTAGAGGTGTTTCTCAACCTGGTCACAGTTCTTTCGGGATAAATTGACCTTTTCACATGGGTCACCTGAGAACACCAGAAAACACAGAGATTTACATTACTGTCCACAACAGAAACAAATGTACACTTATTAAGTAGCAACAAAAATAATTTTATGGTTGGGGTCACCACAACATGAGGAACTGCAACTAGGAATGTTGAGAACCATTGGCTTTGAGCCAAATGCATATGTGGGTTTGAGGGGCTCTGAGTTTGCTAGGTGCATTGTTTGGAGAGGGGTACATATACCTAATAGTTGTGGGTGAAGATACTAGGTTACCAAGTGCATTATTGTGGGGGAAGGGAACATATAACCCCAAAAGCTAATGGAGACACCAGGGTACTAATATCCCTCCTTGCTTGCCTGCCTCAACAGAAATGTAATTGCTCACAGTTCTAGACTGCTGATCTCTAGGGTCAAGTTGCTAACAGGGTTGATGTCTTCCCTTCCTCACAAGGCCTTTCCTCTGTTTACAAGGAAGAGGAGAGCCCTTTGGTGGACCCAAGTCCTACTAGATCAAGGCTTTATTTTTACAACCTCATTTAAACTTTGTTTTGCTGTCTCCCCAAAGGCTTCACTTCCAGCCACAGATAAGTGGGGGCGAGCGCCTCAGGGTGTAAATTTTGAGTCTTCATCAGAGCTAATCAAGAGACTGTTTTTTTCTCCTAATGCACTCTCTCCTGAAAGCTCCTTCTGCTAGGCAGATCTAATTACAGGTGTCCAATTTATAAACAGCTCTGTGAGAGGTAAACAGGGGCAGCATTCACCTGTGATCCCTGCTACTGCATTTACTGATGATCAATGAAACTTTCAGATTCCAACTGTGGAACCATACCACTGGGTCTCAGAGTCATTAATGAAAACAAGAAGCAGCATATTCTGGGCTCTGTTATATTTGCAATTATTCCTCAACCACTGTCTTGTGACATAACATTCAGACTCAAACTCACTCATAGAGTCAATTTCTAAGCAAAGAAGTACTTTCTTAATTGCATTATATATACATATATATATATATATATATAACCACACATACACATACATACACACACACACACACACACACACACACACACACACACACACACACACACAATAGGGTATTGGGCCCCATTCAGTAGGAGTTACAGTCACTTGAATCTTCCATATATGTCTGGAAAATTGAACCTGTGTCCTCTGGAAGAGCAGGGATGTTTTAACCACTGACTCATCTCTCCAACCCCAGGAGTATTTTCTTTAAAAATAAAGAAGGAAGGAAAAAAAGAAAAAAAAACTCCTATGAATTTCCAAAAATAAAAAAAATATCAGGAAGTTTCTATCAAGAATCCAGGAGCAATAAGTAATCACTTATGAAAAATCTTGTTGAAGAAAAGAGATATCTTAATAGAGGGAGCCATTATAGGTTTAAAGAGAAATCTGGCACTAGACAAATGTCAGGGATCCACAAGGATGAATCCAACTAAGAATCTAAGCAATAGTGGAGAGGATACCTTAAATGCCCTTCCCCTATAATGAAATTGATGACTACCTTAAATGCCATCACAAAGCCTTCATCCAGTAGCTGATGGAAGCAGCAGAGATTCACAGCTAAGCACTTAGCTGAACTACTGGAATCCAGTCATAGATAGGAAGGAATGATGAGCAAAGGGGTCAAGACCATGCTGTGGAAACCCACAGAAACAGCTGACCTGAGCAAGTGGGAGCTCATGGACACCAGTCTGATAGCTGGGGAACCAGCATAAGACTGAACCAGACCTCCTGAGTATGGGTGTCAGTTGGGGGGCTTGGGCAGTTTATGGGGCCTCTGGCATTGGATGCAGTATTTACCCCTAGTGCACAAATGGACTTTGGGAGCCCATTCCCTACAGAAGGATACTCTCTCAGCCTAGATACATGGGGGAGGGCCTAGGTCCTGCCCCAAATGATGTGACAGACTTTGATGATCTGCCATGGGAGGCCTCACTTGCCCTGGGGAGTGGGTGGGGAGTAGGATGGGGGACCGGTGGGGGACATGGGAGGATAGGAGGGAGGGGAAATGGGATTGGTATGTAAAATAAGATTGTTTTTAATTTAAATAAAAATTAATTTAACACCGAAGACAATTTATGCTGGAGAGGATGTGGAGAGAGGGGAACAATCCTCCACTGCTGGTGTGAGTGCCAACTCACACAGCCACTTTGGAAAGCAGTATGGAGATTCCTCAGGAAAATGGGAATCAGTCTACCACAAGACCCAGCAATTCCACTCTTAGGCATATATCCAAAGGAGGCAAATGCATACAACAAGGGCATCTGCTCCACTATGTTCATAGCAGCATTATATGTAATAGCCAGAACCTGGAAGCAACCTAGATGCCCCTCAACTGAACAGTGGATAGAGAAAATGTGGTACATTTACACAATGGAGTATTACTCAGCAGAAAAAAACAATGGAATCTTGAAATTCGCAGGTAAATGGATAGCACTGGAAGAAACCATCCTGAGTGAGGTAACCCAGCCACAAAAAGAAAAACATGGTATGTACTCACTCATATATGGATTTTAAACATGGATCAGGAGAGTGCCAGTCTGCACTTCCACTGACAGAGAGTTTGGGAAACAGGAAAGAACCTAAAAGATATACATGGTACCCAAGAGAAGAGAAATGTCTGAACAGATGGGGAACACGGCGAGGGGTCGGGGGGGGACCTGGGAAATAGAGATGGGGAGAAGTGGAAAAGAGAGTAGGATGCAGAGGAACAGGAAGGTTGACTGGGGGGATAGGATAGGGGGAAGAGGGAATCATAGGTTAGAAGACAGATCAGGCACCGTTGTGACCTCTAGTGACCTAAAAGGATGACACCAATTGGCAAGCTAAGCAATAGTGTAGAGACCACCTCGAATGCCTATTCCTGATAGTGAACTTGATGTCTATAACCATCCTGGAGCCTTCATCCAGTGACTGATGGAAGCAGAGGCAAACACCCACAGTTAAATACTGAACAGAACCCAAGGAACTCAGCGACAGAGAGAGAGGAGCGAAGAGTAAATTGGCAAAGAATGGGCTGGCAAAACCAGCAGAGACACCTGATCTGAACAGGGGAGAGCTCTTGGACCCCAGACTGACAGCTGGGAGGCCAGCATGGGACCGATCCAGACCCCCTGAATGTGAGAATCAATGAAGAGGCCTGGGCTACCTATGGGGTCCTGAGCAGTGGATCAGTGTTTATCCCTCGAATACTAACAGATATTGTGTGTCCATAACACAAAGAGGGTTGCTCTCTCTGCCTGGACTCTTAGAGAAGTGCCTGGACCCTACCCTGAATGAAATGACAGACTCTAGATATCCCCTATGCGGATGGAATTGGCAATAGGGTGGGAGGATGGGGGCGATGGTAGGGAGGTGCAGGAGGAGGGGAGGGAGAGGGAACTGGGATTGACATGTAAAACAAGCTATTTAAAATTTAAAAAAGAAAAGAAAAAAAGAAAGATCACGCAAACACGAAAAAAATTAATTTAAAAAATAGAAGAAAAAAGTCTTGCTGAAGGCTAGGAATGAAGCTTTGTATAATGCTGCCCTGTGTTCTAGACCCAGCGTGGCATAAACCTAGCATGGTAGTACTGTAATCTCAGCACTGGGGAGGTGAAGTAAAAAGACTTAGATGTACAAGGTCATCCTGGTCTGCAGAGTGAATATGAGACCATCTTGCACTACACAGGAGCCTGTCTCAACAAGCAAACAAAAGTCCTGTTGCCATGCATGAAGATATACTCTTACAATCCCAAGCATTTAGGAGGTTGAGGCCAGCCTGGGCTACATAACCAAGCCTGAGTTACAAAAGAAGACTGGCTCAAAAAAAAAAAAAAAAGATAAAGAAAACAAGACGAGTTAATTAGAGCTGGAATTGACCTGTAGTAAAAGCACCTCTGACTTACAGGCACATCGCCTCTCTGTCTTGTCAGCAGATGGTTCTACGACTCAGCTGCAGAAGTCTGCAGAGTGGTTGGCTAATGTTCTGGAATGCAGCCTGTGGCTGTTGCATGAATTTTCCCTCTGAGCAAACAATCTGGCTCTAGAGGTAATCACACATACTCACTTATTCCCATTAGCAACCCCAAACAAGCAAGTGACTTTACCCAAACAGCAGGAATGACGGCTATTTTTGAATGTGCCCTGTTTAATATGTTTCACAATTTGTGATTTCTCAATAACAAGAGCTGTACAACTGTTAGAATTATAGGAGAATTCAGAAGCAGACATAGCAAGTAGTGAGAGAGTCAAAGAAGGGCAGTAAGTGCTTTAGAAATGAATGAGTGTGGGGAATTCTTATTTATAGAACTCTAGTCCTACTTTGCTGAAGTGCTATTGAAATGGAGCGCAGGCTCAGTGATGTGGCTTTAAATGCCAGCACTGGAATATGTGTGGGGGAGAGCAGAGGCAGACAGATCTCTGTGAGTTTCAGCCTGGTCATTGTGAGGTGTTCTAGGCTGCAGAGTAAGACCCTGTTTCAAAAGAACAAAACAATTCCAACAATGACCGCAAACACTGAGGTAAGAAGGAAACTAACTGTGCCTTTTGAAGATTATCAAAGAAATTGATTAGATATTTTTCTTTCTACATGCTTGGCTTCATGTATTTTTTTTTTAAATAAATATGTTCCCAACTAGCCTTGAGGAATGCAGACTGATCAGTACCCAGGGGAATACAGCAAGTCAGGGAGACAGAAGTTTCCTTATTTCCCATCATGTCCTTGTGGGGGCTTCAGGGAAGATGGACTGTCTCTTTCCTTTGTAGGAACCTCCTGCTGAGTCAGTTTGTCAACATGACATAGCTGAAAATTCCACAGCCCTGTGTGCTTGTACCCTCTCCGGATTCCAATGGTGAGTGTACCTCCAACACACCCTTCCGAGCTTCCTCCAGGACAGCCTTTCTGGTCTGTGTTCATTCTCCAGGTGGCCTGGGTTTGGAAAAGATAAGACTCCCAGATAAAGGTACTGCAGGTTAACAATTACAGTATTGCCAAATAAGTCTTGATTTCTTAAAACCATAATAAGGAAACCTACCTACATTAATGCCATACTTCACTAAATGGAGCTGGGGGATTTTCAGTTCTCAGGACACATATTTATGCAATAACAGCCATTTCTTCTGAAGGGTATCTGAAGTCAGCAATTCTCACAGATTCAGGGAGCTGCCTCTTAAAGCACAGAATTATTTCATAATTAAATTTTACTTTTCAACATACCAAACTACTGACAAGCCATTGTGATAATCAACAGGGCTTGAAAAAGACACAGCTAGTCAAGCGAGGGAAGTATTTCCTTGTGAGAGTCATTTCTTGGACAACTCCTTCCATCTGGAAACCAGGAAGTGAGTCAGCTTTACTTACTTCAGTCTCCTGGTTGATGTTTTGTTATTCATCCCAACTAAGAACATTTCTTTTTCCTCCCCACAGAACCTGGTCTGACCAAGCAGGCAGGTCCCTTGTTGAAATCTCCTCTTCAAAACATCTACAGGTTCTGTTGTCAACGAACTTAACAGCCGTTGCTTGGAAAGGTGCCTGGCTGGTCACAAGACTATGACTCATCGGTGTTAGCTAAACACAAAGCCCAGCTGACAAAAGCCATGACGTCATTCCTTTTCTATGTGTCTTTAACATAGTTTAGATACAGAAGTCCTTGGGTAATATGCAAAGCCTTCAAATCAGAGGAACAAGTCTGAAATACTTAAGAGATAAAAACACCCTGTTACGTCTGAATAACAAAGGCAATGCAGGCTCCAGGGTTCTGGGCTGGAGGTATTTGCTGATACAAAATACTCTACAAAGTTTTACAGTGTATAAACTAGTCACTGTGGCTGGTTGAAGTTTAACTCAACTGAGATATTTCTAAATTGAGTAACCACTGAGGAATGCCAAGTTTGGTAGTGCTAAACACTCAACAACTCCCAAGAACTATTTCCTTGCGACCCACCAAAATAATGTGCAGAAGAATTTTAAAAGTATTTCAAAATCAAGATAATATGTAAAGGAGTCTGGGGGGGGCGGCCCTCGAGATCTCTGTAACTTCCCACCTTCTTTCTGGTCTCTTGTATTTATTTAAGAAGCAAAGATTACTTTTACTGTGAATAATAGCAAAAATGAAGTGGCAAAAAAAGAAAAAACAATTTTTCTAAGAGTGATCTATAAGGGACAAACTATAAAAAGCAAAAGGGATCAAGTCACCTGACCTTACCACTATGTTGAAATGTAATGTAAGGAAGACAGCATGACAGAGGTCATTGTTTACTTAACCAGTTACTGGTCCTTGAAAGAGTATGAAGAAGCCCTCCACAACCAATCACACAGATAGCAATCTCTCCTGAGAAACCTAATCACCACTTTAGCAAAAAAGCCAGCCAATAGTAAGTCAAGAATTTGTAATTAATTATGCTGACCTTACTGCCCCTCTGGGGGAATTTATTTGGAAAGGAGGAGGTGGTGGTGTAAGGCAGGAATGCTTCATTTGGGAAAGGTTTAAGCTCATGTGATGAAGGGATGTTGCTTTCTAATTGAGCAAATCATTGTTTTAACTTCCTTTTTCCAGTACTGCCTGTTCACTTCTGGGAAATCTTAAGAAAACACAGAAGCATTGTCGAACTCAAAAGCGGAAGTAAAGGATTTGAAATGTGATGGTACATCCTGCCAGCCCCGCAAGAGGCAGCAGGATTAGACGAATCTTCTGTAGGACGGTAACTTCATTTCCACTCAACTCTCATTTTAAAAATCTTTCTGCCTTTCAAGACTATTTTTCCTGACTGGTATTTAGACACACGTTTGTCTTTACATGTGGAGGATAGAGGATAACCTCAGCTTGGTTCCCAGGAACTGTATACCTTTGAGACCTTGAGACAGTTTCTCAATGGGTCCTGGGCTCTTCCTTTCTTTAGGCTAGACTGGCTGACCAGCAAGACCCAAGGATCTTCATTTCTGTCTCTCTACAGCATTGAAACTGCAAGAATGGACCACCATGCTTGGCACATTTTATGGGTTCTGGGAATCAAAATGAGGTCTCTGTGCTTATATGACAAGTACAGACTGAGGTACCTCCCAGGACCCAGCCTCCTCTTCTTATGCTGGCCCTGCTCCATCACTTAGGTGGTCCATCCTGTTCTTATTTTTCCAAATTCCATCATGTTTTCAAAATATTTCCCTCTATGAAGACCTCATTGTCAAAATGTATTCAAATACAAGTACTCAAGACATATACCTCTCCTAAGTACATTAACAATAGCAGACATGCTCTTTGAACAATTAAAAATTAAGTAGCCTGGTATGTGAAGGCAGGAGGACCCTTCCAGAGGTCAAGGGTCTTAAGCAGAGTTATTCAGCTTCCCTTATTCACATATACATTTTTTTTTAGAATCAAGACGTGATTTAAAATTAGACAAGTTATTTCTTCAGATTAGTAATGTATGTATATATAGATAGATAGATAAGAAACTCCTCATTAAAAACACATCGATTAGATCACATATGCTTTTTATTTAATAGCTTCCTTCCACAAAAATGGAGTAAGCTCAGTCTTTATTTTCAAGGAAACAAAACTCCTAGCAGTCATGGTCACCAGTCAAATTGGGTGGCCAAGAAAAGAGATGTGGCAATTGGCAGGAAGAAGAGCAGTTTTTCTGATGTTATTGTCCTTCAGCAAAACCATCCCACAAACAATCATAACTCACTCATTTTTCATGTTTCAAAAAAACCACCATCTCCTCCAGGATCACTTCACAGAAGTCTTTTATTTTATATATGCTAATGTTTTAGTTATTAAAAAATATGTATGTTCATGTAAGCCATCAGCATCTTGCTCTTGTTCCGTTTTTGTTTGTTTGCTCATTTGCTTGTTTTCCAGAGAGGTTTTCACTATGTAGTCCTGGCTAGCCTGAAATCCACTATGTAGATCTGGGTTGGTCTTAAGCTTAAAGCCAACTCATACCTCTTCCCCTGCAGTGGTTGAATTAGAGACGTGCCACACCATGCACATCTCGGTATCAAGCTTTTAAGTGGGATTTCATGCCAAATTCTCAATGGATGTGGCATGCGGATTGTATGTGTAAGAGGAGTTGTAGGCGTTTAAAACCTGTGGAGGTAGAAAGTCAAGACGACTATCATTCTCTGGTTTAAGAAAGACCTCTCTGCCATACGGAGAACTGAGACGCAGTTAATATCACACAATCATTTCTTCAAAAACTTAGAACATTTGGTGATGATTGATCCCCTTTCAAACATCTCAATATTGAAAGAGCTCAGAGGTAATGATGCAGTTCCAAGGCTGCCTTCTATCAGGTCATTCCTGTTCTGAACTGTAGCCATTTACTATGAGCAAGTCTCAAAGCTGCTTGTTTTCTGAAGCACACAGATCCCATCTGTCCAAGGCCTATGAGTTCTTATAAATTAGTCCCTAGGCTAAAGCAATAATGAAAGCAAGAAGGAACCAATGTCAAGTGGCCACTTCCCAGAAATATATGCATTCATACGCACACATGCATGCACACACATACATACATGAGCATGTGCACACATGCACACATGCTCTCACACACACACACACACACACACACACACACAATTTACACCCTGAGGACACAATCCAAATTTATGAATCACTCAATGGTTGTATTATGTTAACTCAGAGCTTAGACTTTTCTTCGATTTACCTTACAGTTCTTAATCGGATTTTAAATTGTAAATGCTAGTAAGTGCATGAGAGGAAATATACCAGAGACCAAGAACATCCATGAAATAAACACAATATGTGCTTAGACTTACGAATCTCAGATCATTAGCTCATGCTGAACAAAAGTGCTTCATTATGTTCCATTTTAAAAACATTTTGATAAGGAAACATTTGATGTTTTATCATTTCCAGTCTAAATCTTAACTAGGAAATCAGGGCATTGCTGGATAATTGTGGTGCCATCATGAGTATCAGAACAGTGCAGAAGGAGAGCTTAGAGGTTAAGAGCACTTGCTATCCTTTCAGAGGAACATCTATTCCTAGCACCACATCAAGCAGTTCACAATGACCTGTGGCTCCGGTTCCAAGGGAGCTGATTCACATCTCTGGCCTCCCTGCCTACCTGCAAATGGGGGTGGGGTATGTGTGCACAGGTAGACAAGAAGATACAAATATGCATGTAGAAATTTTAAATAAAACAAAAACATTTTTAAACTGCTGCATGCATCCATACTCTATGTATAGCTTTAAACATCGGGTTCCTTGTGCAAGACGCTGGTCTTTGCTGTAAAAAAGAATTGTAGTTGATCTGTGTAGGCCACTTAATCTGAGATTCAAATCTGTGGTAAATAATGAAGATAAAACTGGGGTACTGAGCAATAACAGGGGCACAAGTATCCAAATTCCCATTTCAAAACTATAGTCAGCTTTTGAGAAATGTATTATTAAGTAGCTTATGCAATGCTTAAAAATAATTAATTCATGTATACTCTAATACAGTGATTCATAGAAGAACCTGATTGGTATAGAGTATTTCATTTGTGAGGATGTTTGAAGACTCTTGAGCATATATATTAAGCCACCGATAGCAACGAACCACATACATACATACAAAATACGTACACACACACACACACACACACACACACACGCACACACATGCACACATGCACACACACATACCTGTTGCAAAATAAAAATATGTGTGATTACTATTCTTGAGTGTCAGCTTGACTGTGTGTGGAATTAACTAAAACCCAAATGGCTGGGCACACCTATGAGGGTTTATTTTTCTTCATTAAATCATTTGAAGTGAGAAGATTCACTTCTAGTTCATACCTTTGAGGTGGGAAGATCCACTTTTAATCTTGGTCACACCTGCTGCTAGCAGTCTATATAAAAGACATAGAAAAAGAATATCTGTCTGTCTGTCTGTCTGTCTGTCTGTCTCTCTCTCTCTCTCTCTCTCTCTGCCTGCTTTCTCTTGATTTTGCTACAAAATCTATTCCTTCATTGGCGTTAGAACCTGTTTTACTGAGACTCTGGCACATACTGAAGATCACTTGAGAAGTCTGACCTCATAGACTGAATAACATTTGGAATCTTGGACCTTCTGTTGATAAACAGTCATTGTTGGACTAGCTAGACCACAGCCTGTGAGCCATTTTAATATAACCTATGTATGTGTGTGTATGTGCATTCATTCTATAATTTCTCTTCCTTTGAAGAACTCTGACTAATACAATTTAATACATTATATAGATGTATACAACAAAATACCATGACTGCCATTCCAATAACAAAGATGTGTAAGTAACTAATGAGCAGGTAGTATATACACCGTGGATACACTGAATGAAAGGTTGGTTCATGCTCTTGAGCGGACATATTTGAACAAAATTTTGATATGCTACTCAGACTGGTGTATAATTTTAGATATATTATTGCTTCTAGAATTTAGCATTTGACATTTCTGGACCCCAATTCACTCAAGGTAACTAAAACCACAGAAACAGAAACAGGCTAATACAAGAGTACCATAGCTAGTAC